TGCAATGGCAGCCTCTTGAGGGCCCGGGGGGGGGGGGCAGCTCCTTCCAGGCCGGCGTGGCGGCCGTGCATGCCTCTGAGGCCCGCTTAGCACGCGTGTTTTGTGTGGGAGAAGAAATGAGAGAGGGATCAGGTGCCCAGAGGGCGCTCCGACCCACTTTGCAACGGGGCCCCTGACATGGGCTGCGGCGCAGGCTTTTTTTCCACGGCAGCGCGCCGGTGCCCAGGTGACAGCGGGGCCCCGGCGCGCGCGTGCGGTGCGATCTATCAGACCATCAATCGTGAAAAACAACGCAAGTGCATCGGCGGCAGCTCCCCCCCTCACAGGCGGCCCCAAAATTAACGCTCCTCGCCGCCTTCCCTCCAAACGCCCGGGTCGAACTGGTTCGAATCATACCAGCTCAACCAAGGATGGGCGGGGCCGCCGGGCCCCAGATCTTCGCTCGGTAGAATTGGCGTGTGGATGTGCGCCGAGCGCGATCGGGGGCGTGCAGGTTGTGTGCGCGCTGCTGCTGCGCTCGGCGCCTGCACGTACGTAATGGACACTCGCGGGAAGGGTGGGGGAGGGGCAGCGTGCGAGGGATGGCCTCAGTCACCAAGCAACAGCGAGGGCTTGGGCGCCGCGCGGCGCCCACATATGCTTGCTGGCGGTCGCGTGACAAGGAAAGCCTCCAGGATCAGCGCTGACAAGGGCAACGCGCCGGCCCCTGGCCCCGCTGCGCATGCTCGCACGCGTGCGCGTTTGGGCAGTCCTGCACAGGCGGCCCTGAGTCAAGGAATGGGCGCGCGGTTTGACGGCAGTGCCGCGCACACAGAAACAGAAGTGCAGACGGTGCGGGCAAGAGGCTCCGCACGCCAGATGCGCCCGCCACCCGCGCGCCCCCCGGCGCGCGGGCCGCACTGCTGCTACCGCCGCCGCCGAAGAAGGTTCCACGCCGGCGGGCGGAACGGGCCGCTCCCGTCGCGCCGCGCGCCGCGCACCGCTCTACATCAGCTTGCGCGCCGACGCGGCCAGCAGGCTGCTCGCGGTCGCGCAGCCCTCCGCCTTGGGCGCCGCGATGCCGCCGCCGGCGGCGCCGCCGCTGTGCGCCCCCGGGGCCTCGGCGAGCCGCGTGTGGTCGTAGATGTCAAAGGCGTCCCAGGGAAACACGCACCAGCAGTCGTCCATGTCGATGCAGGACCAGTACCTGTCGGTGCGGTTTTTCGAACGCAGGACTCAGTCTTGCCGCGCGATCGTCAGGGGTTTACACAATCCAGGGTGAAGGGTTCCCCTCGGGTGCTTCGAGGGTTTGCGGACCCGGGTTGTAGGGTTTGAGTGAGACGAAAGATTGAGCCGCCGGGCCCAATGGCAAAGCACGCCCGACGGCATGGCAACCGGGCCGGCAGGCTTGTTGCCGGGCCAGATCAGCCCCCGTGCGCGCTTTGCTCCTGTCAAAATCAAACTCCCAAACGACAGCCGGGGCCGACCTGCTCTTCATAAGGTCTGTGGGCAGCTCCGCCAGCTTCTCGCGCCGCTTGTAGGCCAGCACGAGTATGCCGACCTCGGGCTCCTCCCAGTATGAGCCAGCTGCGAGCGCCGCGGCGCGCGCCGCGTCGATGTCCGCCTGCAGCGTGGCCACGCAGGCTGCCAGGGTCTTGCGGCTGTCGTCCACCTGTAGGTTTGAATTCGAAATCGTGCAGTTCCAAAACGTGTGCGTGCGGTTCGTTATCCAGGCAGCATGGCGATTTGGGACATGCGAAGGTGCGATGTTGAGTCATGGTGGTTAAAGAGGCAAGGGGTAGGGGGTGCGGTACAGTCGTGGTGGCGGGGGCGGCGCGCCTTCTCAAGGTGAGCCCGGGGCGGATGCGGCGGCAAGGCGCAGACGGCGGTCAAATGGAAGGCAACAGGCGTGGACGCGACAGCCCCAGCAGAAGATTGTATGAATGCGCGTGTGGTGCTGCTTGTTCGATGCTGCAGCGACACACCCACACACGCACAAAGCATGGCGCGGGGTGTGGCTCACACCACACACACACACACACACACACACACACACACACGCACGCACCCCCCCACACACCCTGTTTCAATGAGAGGGTGTGGCACGCACACACAGACACACACGTACTCTCTCATTCACACGCGGCCTCCTACTCACACATCCACACACATCCACGCACACACACACACACACACACACACACACACACACATCCACACACGCGCGCATGCACGCACGCACGCACACACGCGCACACACACACACACACACACACACACACACACACACACAACATCACCCTCGGCGCACCTCGTCCACGATCAGGATGCGCTGCCCCGACAGCGACACCGCGCCCGGCCCTGAGCCGTACTGGAGCCACTGAGTCACCTTGACCGTGCGGCGGCTGACGTCACAGCCGTCCATCTCCGACTCGTACAGCTGCGCGATTTTGGGCGGGTGGGCGAGGGTTGCGGGCCAACGGTGTGGGTGGGGCGAAACAATAGGAATGAAACTATACGAGTTGCTGTGTGAAATCCGTGTTGGGAAGAGGCCGGCCCTGCTGGCGGGTTTTGTGTCGGGCACGCGAGTTTGGGGTCGCAGGAGGGCCGAGGAGGGCTGGGGCCTCGCGGCCTCGCGCCGCGAGGCCGCGAGCAGGAGTCCGTCAGGGACGCGATCCGGGAGCCGCCGCCACCGTGGCCGTTGTTGCGGGGCGGCGGCGTGCGGTCGGTGCCCCAGTTGCGGCCAAGGGCGGGCGTCCGTCCGTGCATCTTCCGCTCACCGAGAGGCCGACGGCCTGAACTGCGACCTTGGCTTTGTATTGGTGCTGCAGGTACGTCCGCGCGATGCGCGTGGGGATGTAGCTGCGCGTGTCGCGTGGTGTGTGTGTGTGTTTGTGTGTGTGTAAGTGTGTGCGTGTGCGCGTCTACGGATGGGTGGCCGGGGCGGGAGAGGCAGGGGGTGCCGGGCGCGTTCGATTTGGGGTGGGGGATCGGCGGAGCGCCAGGCTGCGGGAAGGGGGTGTCGCTCGAGTGCACCGCATGCACAGCCGCAACGCCGGCGCACGGGCCACCGCGAGGGGCCGCCCCACACCGGCGCGCGAGAGGGCGCCAGGGGCCCAGCCCAGCCACGTGAAGGGCGCTTGGTGGGCCCGCAGCAGGCGCAAGCGCAAGCGCGCGCGCGCGCCGCACCCGCCGCCGCCGATCGCGAGCATCAGTGTGGGGACGAATGAGTCAAACACGCGGCGGTCACAAACGGTATGACGAATGGCGTCATGGACCTGCTCGTACGACCTGGCATTCAAGTTGTGGTTCAGATTGATGGGTGAGGGTGGGTTGGTGGGTGACGGGTGGAGGGTGGAGGGAAGGGCAGGGGGAGCGGCGCGCGAGGATGGCGGGGGATTGGGGACTCTGGGGCGGTGGGGCATGTCAATGTTGTGCATTGCGACCGCGGCTGTGGTTGGAGGGGGGATGAGCCGGGAAGGGGGTGCCCGTGTGGGCGCGGGCCACAGGAGGCAGCGCCCATGGCGCGCCATGTGATCGATTCGGGCGGTCACATGGGCGATCCCCGCGCCCGTGCGCCCCCCGTCCCGGCTGGCCCCGGCCCCAGGCAACACAAGGCTGCTGATCCCAAGTTGTGGGCGTTGCCCTGCCCAGACGCGTGAAGCCCCCCGCCGGTTTGCACGAGCAGCGCCCTGCGAGCGCTGGCTGTGGCCTTGCCGGGCCCTGGGGCCCCCTCGACGCACCAGTACCGCTTCTTGATATCGCCGGGGTTCGCCATTGCTGCGAACAGGTGGCAGAACGGCTGGAAGAAGCTCGGGGAGGTGAGCAATGCTAGCACGTGGGTGAGCGACCAAGAGTGAGGTACTCCCGAACAAGCGGGGGTCGACTTGCAATATGACAGCACCACGGTGAAAGGTAGGAGATCACTGAAAAGTAGGGGGCGGACGAGCAGTAGGAGGCAGCGGGGCGCGGGGTGGTGCGGCAAAAATCATTTCATCCCAAGGGTGGTGATATACCATACACAAGCAGCACCAGAGCACGTCGTAGCATTTGATTGGTCCCATTTTGGCGGCGGCTTCTGCAGCGCACCCGCGCGCCCGCCGCGCCAGGCGCGCGGCGCGATGGCCGCGCGCGGCGGCGGGGGCCAGCACCCCGGCGCGCGCCGCGCAGCAGGCAGCGGCACCAACGACACCGAGCAGGGCGCAGCGGCGCCGGCGCCGCGCGTCGATTTGAATGCGTCAGATCACGCTGACGAGGACGAGCCAGACCCCCTAGACCGGCTTTTAGATGAGTACTCCGCCCAGGCGACCGCCGAGGCCGCCGCCTCCCTCTCGCGCCAACAGCAGCGCGAGCGGCGCGCCGCGCCGCGGCCCGCGGCGGCGCGGCGGGAGGAGGCGCTGGCGGCGCCGCTGGCGGCGAGCAACAAGGGGTTCGCTCTGATGGCCAAGATGGGATTCGAACCTGGGCGGGGGCTCGGCAGAGATAAGCAGGTGCGCGACGCCCATTTTAATGTTGTGGTTCGATGTCGCAACTAGCAGGCATGCGCACGTGCGGCCCTGTTAGGTCGCGTTCGGCGATGCAACGCCCGTGCCCGCGCCCCGCCCTGCGCCTCGCGCCCGCAGGGGCGGTCGGACCCGCTGCCTCTCGTGCTCAAGAGCGGCCGCGCGGGGCTGGGGATCGAGGAATCGAAGCAGCAGCGCAAGCGCGAGGCGGAGCGGCGCGCGCTAGAGGCGGGTAAGGCGACGCCGCCTGTGCAAGCAGCGGCACGGGCGGGCGCGGGCGCGGGCGCGGCTCAGGGGCCGTGCACGGGCGGTCGAGGATGCGCGCGGGCTGGGGCACGGGCGCGGAAAGCACCGCCTCGCCACTTGGCCCAGTGCATGTGCAATCACAGCCTGTGAAGAACACTCCCTGCATGCGTCGAGCATTGCCTTCCCCACTTGCCACGCCACGCGCCCACGCAGCCGCCAAGCGTCAGCGCCACGTCAGCGCCATGCAGAGCGGCTTCAAGGGCGCCCGGGCCGACGCCTACGCGGCCCGCAAGCTGCGCCACGCCGCCGCGCGCGCCGCGGCGGCGTGCGCGTCGCTCGACGAGCGCGCGGGTGTGGCGGGAAACCCGCTGATCGACGGCGTCGGCGGCGGCGGCGCCGGCGGGGGCGCAGGGAGCGGTGGCGCCGCGGGCGCGGCGGAGGACGAGGAGGGAGGGGAATGGGAGCTGCTGCCCGGCGCTGGCTGCTGCGGCGTCGGCGGCGGCGGCCGGGCGGCGCGGCTTGAGCGCGGGGAGGAGGCGGCGGCAGAGGGGGAGGCGGGGGCGGGGGTTGGGGATGGAGACGGCACAGCGGCGGTGACGCTCGGTGATCTGAGCGTGGATGAGGTGAGGGCGCGGCTGGCCGCGTTGGTGGACTACCTGCGGTCGCGCTACTTCTACTGTGTTTTCTGCGGGGCTGAGTATGAGGACGAGGAGGACCTGGCGAGAAGCTGCCCGGGGCCGGGGGAGGAGGACCACGATGACTGACGGTGACGTCACACGCGAGATGACTGCATGGTCTGGGCGGTTGCTGAGCTGGCAGGGACCCCGCCTCTAACCTAATGTCGCGAGGCCTCAACCGGCTCGCATGTATTTTCGTTGGTAGTCTTCTTGTGTTGTCGCCAACACCGCATGGGCAATTGTTCGTTTGCAATTCAATTGGCAATTTATTCTTGCTCGCCCGTCCGCGCCTGCGGCGGCCGGCGGGCGAAGCGGCGCTGCAATCGATGCGCCTCCCACCCAGCCGGGGCGGTCCTGAATCAGGGGGACGGGGACCGGCCTGCGCAGCAGCATCCCCCCAGATTGACTGGCCTGCTGCAACTCCTGTGCATGTTGCGGCTGCCAGCCACGCGCTGCAGCCGCACCGCCCCGAATCGCTCTGCTTTCCCCTTGTAAACAGCTACAAGAAATTATGGGCGACAGTCAAAGCGTTACTCCGGTTGCAAAGAGCGTCCTTGCATGTTCGACGCGGCGTCGCAGGCGCGCGCATCAGAAGTCGCACAGAAAACCTTGTGACAAATTCACAGTTGCACAGCTGCGGTGCCGGCGGCTGTATGAAGCCGCACCAGCATGCTTCCGCTGCATCCAAACCGCCGCATTGCCGGCGCAGCAAGACCAGTCGACGCCCGCAAGGCAGGCAGCACCTGACATCTCTCACCCCGCCGCCGATATCACCAGATCACTAGATCACGCCATGACCTCATCGCCCACCCCTCCGCGCCTCAGATCGTCGGCCGCCTCCCTGACCTCCTCCAGGGCCGCGTTGATCTCCTCTATCGCGCCATCCAATCCGCGCGCCGCCTCGCGCGTCGCGGCGGCGACATCGGCAGCCAATGGCGCTGCGATGCCGTCAGCGCCGTACAGCACGCCCCCAGGCCCCGTCCCGCCGCCGCCGCCGCTGGGCGCCGCAGCGCACCCCTCGTCGCCGGCCGCCGCGCCGGCCGCGGGCGCGGGCGCGTGGACGGCGGGCTCCTGGTCGCCGGCGTGCGACTTGGCCGCGTCGGCGCCGCCGGCGGCCGGTGCAACCGGGGCGCCATTCTCATGCGCGTGCGCGTGGCCGCCGTGGGCGCCGCAGCACGCGCCGCCGCCGGCCCCCGCCGCCGCCTCCACCGCGATCCCCTGCAGCTGCCGCGCGAGCGCCTCGCCCGGGCCCTCTGGGCCGCCGCCGCGCCGCGGGGCGCCGCCGGCCGCGGCGAGGGCCTGGGGGGTGGAGGCGTCCCTCAGAGCCTGCCAGCTGACGGTCAGCCTGCGCCGGCGGTTTGACGTGTGTGATGTGGAGGTGTGCATATGCATGTGCATGTGGTTAAATGTGCGGATAAATGTGTGAATGGAGAGGTGGCCGGCGGCTGGTTGGTGTGTAGGGGTGCGCGCTCGTGGCCGGGTGTGCGGACTAGATCAAAGGGGCGGAGGCGGCCAGGGGTCCCGGGCAGGCGGCAGACACAGGGGGGGGTGGGGTCAAAATTGCGGCCCGCGGCCCGCAGGGTCGCGAAAGCCAGGGCCCGCGCTGCCGCCCCGCCTCGCCTCGCCCCGCAACTGCAAGGCGGGCTAAAATCAGGATTCCAAACGCACGCGGCCGCACAAACCACGAACGCGGCCGCACAAACTATGGAAAGAAACAGATGGAAAGGCGCGCACCTGAGCTTGTCAGCCTCAGCATTCTGGACGCGCCTCAGCAGCGCGGCCAGGTCGGGCCGCCCCGCGCCGCCGCCGCCCCTCGGCGCCGCCAGGGCCGCCTCCAGCGCGCGCACCTGCAGCGCAGGGTGACGCGGCGCCGCCGGGGGCGGGGGCCGGGGAGGTTGGGGTTGCAGGGGTGCCGTGCGGCGCGCGTGCGGGGGGAGCACGATTAATGTCGTTGCCTGGCTGTTTTCTCAAATGTTCTGAAAGGCCTCAGGGTTGCAGCGCGACGGCAGCCGCCCAGGATGAGCGGGCAAGAACCCCGGCGGCCACAGGGGACGCGGCACGGGCCCTAGGGCGCGCCGCGCCGCGTCGCGCTGCCTGGCGCCCCAAGCCCTCACCCCCGCCCGACCCGCAAGCCCCTGCCCCAGCGCCCCCTCGCCGCGCGCACCCACCTGCTGCGACACCGCCCCAAACTCGAGAGTCACTTCCTGAATGCTCCTCTTGTACCGCCCCTCGTCCCTGTCCCGCAGGAACCCCCGGAACGCCGCCTGGAAGCTGCCGTACAGCTGCGCGCGCCGCTCCTGAGCCGCGAGGAACTCAGACAGCAGCGGCAGCGGCTCTGGGCCTGCCGGCGCCATATGGCGGGCGCCGCGCTCCGCCTTTCCTGCCGCAGGGGACGCCTTCGCGCCGGCACGCGTGCTCGGCCGCGCCGCGGCCGGGTGGCGGTGCGAGGGGCACTCGAGCGTCGAAGCGGGGGTCGAAGTTCACTTGCCGGCGCGGCCGCGGCCGCCGCCCTCCTCGCCCTTGTCGGCCGGCGGCTGGTACACGTTTTTATCGTTGAACTCCTGGACCTGCAACGGGCGGGGATCGAATCCGGGTGCCGAGGCGGCGTCGGAACGGAAACGGCGCCGGCTCGGCGCACCGAGAGCGCTGGGGTTGGCACAAGCGTGCGCGTGAGAGCAGGCAGCGCGAGGAACTAGCCCATATGCTCCGTTGCTGCTGCAGACGCCGCTGCAGCTATAAGTGGTGCGTGGTGATGCGCACACACGCGCGCACGCGCAGGCCCGCCTGCAGCTGGCCCGCGCTCCCGCGGCCGTGGCTGGCGGGCGAGTGCTGACAGTTGTTGCGGCCTCGGCCGCGCGCACGGCGTGGAGCGCGGCTGCGTTCCTTGGGCGCACCTTCTCCCTCACAAAATCCACCTTGTCTGCTTTCACAAATAAGTGGGTGTCGTCCAGCACAGCGATGATGAACTTGCCCCTGGCACACGGGGGGTTGTGGGGGTGTGGGCAGCAGGTTGGGCAGTGCTGTGGGGAGGCTAGGAGGGGCGGCGCGGGAGCCGCCAGGCGGCGCAAGTGGTGGGGCAGGCGGACCTCCAGGGATGGCCTGTGCGGCGGGGCCGGCCAGGAATATGCGGCGCTGGGTTTCAGGCGCGCCGCATACGGCCGCATGGCCGTGCATGGGGATAGGGCGGTGGCGCCGTGGCGGCAGCGGATGCCGCGGGCGCTCGCGCAGAGGCGCGCGCGGCCGCTCACTGGGCAGGCGCCTTGTTGTTCTCGTGGATTAGAACCTCCTTTGTGGGCACGTCCCTGCGCGGCCGGCGCGCGGCACTCCTGTTGGCAGCGTGCTCAGCACAACCGAGCAGTGCAAGCGGCGCCGGTGACTGGCGTCGCAGGCAGCAGGGACTTCTCGAGCCAAACAGCGCCTCTAGCTCACGTTGCTATCAGCACGCCGTTGGAGGCGTAAACCATTTCCAAGATCCGCGCGAGGTGAAGACACGGAGTGATCTGTGCACCTTTTTGGGGGGAAGCCTTGGAATGTTTTGGCAAATCAATGAAAGCAAGCTGCGCTTGATGAGCTTTTTTGGCGCCGGGCACAACGCACTTCTGCTGTACCGCTGTTGGCCGATGCTCGCGGCGGCTCTCGCCCAGTGTGGCGGCGGTGTGGACTGGCCAAGAGGCCATGGGCGGCTGTATGCCCCGCAACGCGCACCAGGGGCCGCCGAGGGCCAGCCCTCAGCCAACCTCCAATTCTGTCGCAGGTGGATGCTCACTGACACCCCAGGGACGTGCCATATCATTGACCCGCGGCACACACACCGTCTCCGTCGTCTGCTCCTGCCCCCAACCCCATCCACACACGCCCAGGGCCGCACGCCGCCCCCTCACATCGCAGCCCCCGCTCTCACCCAGCAACAAATCGCGGCGTCGCGCGAAGCCGCCTTTGCCGTGTCGTGCTCTTGCCGCAGGGTCCTTCAATTCATGTTTCCACTGCTTTGGCAGCCGCGGCATTTACATCTGATCTCTGGCCAGCGGCCACTCGTCAATGGTTTGGGCCCCCAACCGCCATGGTTTGGGTTCCCCAAAAAAGGTACAAGCTGAGCAGCAACAACGCAAATACAGTGCCTCCAAACTCGAGAGCAGTGGTTGAGAGAGCGCTTCCCCTCTCCTCTCCAGTGCTACGCGCCCCACCCCAGCCCACCGCCGGCACGTGGCGGCGAGCCCGCTGCCCGGGCGGCGGTGTGTATGCAGCCGCATTGAACTTTGTCGGCATCCAATCCCATCGCATGCGGGCCGGAAAAAAAACCGGGGCCTCTGGTGGGTGTCTCGGGGAGAGGGGGGGCGCGTGGAGGGTTCGAAACCGATTGGCCCGTCGCAGCCGTCGAGCAAACGCGTGCGCGCGCGCGCGCGCGTGAATTATGGCGTGCGATGCGCTTGCGCGCGCGCGAGGGGCGGCTGCGATGCGAATACGTATCGGCAGCGCCGCGCCGACGGGCGCGGGCGCGGGCGTGGGCGGTGTTGTGGGGCGCGCGGCGATGCGCCGCGAGTGCCTGCCGTGTTCAAATCCTAAACTCTCACAGTGGATTGCGGTTGCTGTACCAAATTAGACGCGGTGACGGCAGCAAAGGGGGCGTGTACGGTGCGGGTGCGGTGTTGTGCAATGCTGTGCGTTTTCCCGTGCGGCGCGGCCAAAAACAGGGTCCGGCCCAGGCATGGCATTGACAGGCATGCCCTACCAAAAACAGCGGCGCGGCGCGCGCAATCCAGGCCACACGCGCGCGGGACGGCGCCCCCGCCGTGGGCGGCCGCCCTGCGGGGTGGGGCACGGGCGGGCTGCGAGGCCCGGCGTGGCGATTCGAATCGGCTCGCCATCGGGCCTCGGGCCACTTTCAAACGGTTGGGGACAGAGTCTCAGGGATACGCAGTGTCACTCGGATCTCACAAGGGGTGTTGGGTGCGCGAGAGGGGGGGGCGGTGGAATGGGAGGGGCCGGTGAGCCAGGGGCAGGCCCGCGCACGCGCGCATCCGGGAGGCTGCTCCGACCCCTGCGCGTCTTTGGGGCAACCTCCGCGCCCGGTGCAGCGGCGGCGGCGTGGTGTGGTGTGGGGAGGCGGGGGCCTCGGCGCGTGAAAGGCGGGGTGGCTGCGGTGCGAAGTCATGCAACCGGGGCGCCCGCGTGCACTTTGCGCCGCTGAGCTACGCGGCGACGGCCGCGCATCAAGAAACAAACACGCTGAGGCAAAAAATCTCGGGTCGGCTGCGGGC